GGGGGAAGAGGGGGGAGGGCTGAGAGGTAGGGGGAAGAGTGGAAGGGAAAGAGAACTACTTTGGTATATAGTGCCAGATTGAGGTGTCAGAGTGGGAGCTGCAAAAGTCCATAGTGGATAGGGAGACGTCTAGCCGGATTGCACGTGAGACCGAGTGTAGAAAATACTTGCCAGCCATCCCAATCACTATCACCACCACCGGTTTCGACTTCAAGTGCGATGGCCTAGCTACTTCTGTCGACTGGTCCCTCCCGCTGCTCGACGGTTCATCGCTGCAAGGCTGCGTCCCCTTGGAGGCGTCCATCACGCCGCTTTCTCCAGAATCACCGGACATTTAAGCGGTCTCAGCGATATCAATGTGCGATGTGCGATGCCTTGCCAACCCCCGCCGTGTTAGACCTTGTTGTTTGTCACCTAAGCACAGCAACACATAACAGTAAATGCCACGTCACGTTACATAAATATCGGTTTCTGAACCCGCCATTGTTGGACTATGATTCGAAGCCCGAGTCAGGGATGATCACCTCTCTGGAGTGCACTTCCATGCTTTTCCATACAAAAACCTTTTGCAAGAAGCCCCGCTCTTTACGTAACTACTGGAAAGAGGAGGAAATGAGGGAGAAGAGGAAGAGGAAGAGCTCTCCCTCCTCTCCCTCCTCTTCCTCTTGCCAGTCATTAAGTAGCGACCCCCTCTTGTCGTTCACCCTGCCTCCTCCCCCTCCTCCTCCTCTCCGTCCTCCGCCTCAGCCTCCTCCTCCTCCTCAGCCTCCTCCTCCTCTCCCTCCTCCTCCTCAGCCTCCTCCTCTCCCTCCTCCTCCTCAGCCTCCTCCTCCTCTCCCTCCTCTTCTTCTCTTCTCCTCCTCCTCGTGTCGTAACAGAGAAAGGGTTGGGCGTAAGAGACAAAAATCACACCGTGCAAAGGAGGTGAGGGTCCCACGGGGCCAATGCCAAAAGGTGTTTTACCAATGCCACTAGAACAATTCCATCTTTTCCAAAACAAAAACAAAAGAGAACAATTCCATCTTTTCAAGGTATATATATCGCTGCTGGAGGCTGAGAAGGAATAAACGAGCAAGCGGCCTAGCTCAGTTGGTTAGGCACGCAAGTGGCATCCAGGAGGTCCTCGGTTCAATCCCCACAGCCCGCCTAGTGGCAGGCACGCTTGGTGCCAAAGATACTTGACTAGGTCGCCCCAGTCGCTATTCGTAAGGTCCTTGGCCATCACGGGTGTGTGTCTGTCTGTGTGTGGGGGGGGTGGGGCAGAGAGGGGGTGGTATACTGTGTGAGTGCTGGCCGTAGACACTGCTGTTACTCGATGGGGACGTGGGAAATAGATGGGAGGCGCAGCTACTGGCAAATGCTCGGTATTTGCGGTAGCCGGCTCCCTCCACCGGCGGCCCCACCCAACTCCCTGACCACCAACGATTAGGGTTTAGGGGGGGAACATGCTACCCTCTGATTGTCAGAGGCAGCTATGCTTGCAGGGGGCCCCTGTATAAGCTTAGGCGTAGTGGTAGGTAGGTAGTGAAAGGTGAAATTGAGAAAATACTGTAATAAAACTTCGCTTTGAAAGGGAAAAAAAAAAGGAAAAAACGGAAGAGGACGGAGACGAGGAGGAGGAGGAGGAGGAGGAGGATTTTAAGTATAAAAAGAAGGGTTGAAGGGGGAAGACAGCGGGGATGTACGGACAAAACGAGGGGAAGAAAACGGCAGGGCGAATAGAGGGGTCTTTTCAAATGCTTGCCTGGAGAAGGGGGACAAATGGCACAGAAATTGACGACAAGGGGGAGAAGGGGTACAAGGAGGGGGACAAGGCGCGAGAGAGGGAGAGAGGGGGGGAGAAGGGGGGGAAGGGGGAGAAGGGGGGAGGGGGGGGAGAGGAGCAGGGAGGGGGTGGAAGAGGGAAGAGGGGAAGAGAAGAAGAGGAGAAGAAGGAAGGGAGTGGGGGAGGGGGAGGGGAGGGGGAGGGGTAACGATGCTCATATTGGCCTGCAGAAGTGGGAAGAGGAACAGGCCGACGGGACTACGGTGCTGCCGCGCTCTTCTACAATCTTTTTTTCGGGCGTTGCCCCCTGTCATCAGTTGCGTTTCTCTTTCTTCCCCCCTCCCCCCTCCTTCCCCCCTCCTTCCCCCCTCCTTCCCTCCTGCCCCTCCGGACCATTCTCGATCTATGCGTGTCATCGTTGCGCAGGGGCCATGCTGTATCGTTCCATTTTTTATCGGATGTCATGAAGGAGACCTCATCAGCAGTTACGTTTCTCTTCCTTGTCTTTTTTTTTTTTTTTTTTTTTTTTTTTTACTTCCTTGTCTTTTCCTTTCGCTCCGTCGTCATCCTCCTCTCTTCTCACTTTTCATTTTTCTCGTTCTTCACTATACGTCCGTCCTCCTCCTCGTCTTTACTTAGGGCCAGGCCCTACTGGAGCTAACTTCGTGCTTGAAAAGCATGAACCTGGTCATAATCAAGGTCACGTTCGTGCTTTCCTGGCATGAATGAGAGTAG